CAGGCCAGTTCCCAGCAGGGGATGCACATGGCAACCATACATTGATGTTTCTCTCCCTTTCTCCTTCCCTTCCTCTCTAAAGATAAATAAATAAAATCTTAAAAGCAAAAAAAGAATGTGCCTTGCTGATAATTATACCATTCATTGAGATCACTACCTTAGCAATTTTTTTCTCTTAATTTGACTAGAATTGGAAAAATCAAATTTTATATCAAGCAACACAAACCAGAAACTAAATATGAACTCATGTAGTGGGAAACTGACTATTATATGATTATAGTTGTCATAGGAATGCCTAGACTTTGTCTTTTTACATGGGAACATTTGTCTAGGGCTCAGGGCAACTGAAATAAAACATTGGGATCTATCTAATTCTTCTTTAAGGGAATATGCAGTTAAAATAATCTAAGAAGTATCATTAATGAGGGGAAATGATAGATCATTTAATGGGGTTGAGTTGAACAAGTCAGCAGGACCCATAGGAGAGTGTGGAAGTCAGTGGCAGAATTCGGAGTTAATAACACTGCCATGGAAGTAGGTGCTTTTTTTCTTTTTTTAAGTTAAGAATAGTCCCCGCACTTGAAAAGTTAAATTTTATTTTAGTATAGTTGACACACAGTTCGAGTGGAAAGAATCTTTTTATTATCAAATGGCTCAGGTAAATTCTTGTGTTCAGTATGATGAAGGGCATGGGAATTTCCTCCTTTCCAAAAATATTTAAATGGTGGCAAAAAAAAAAAGAGTGGAGAGAAAAGGTGGCCCAGGTTGCTGAAATTTGTAGAAAATATTAGGAAGCTGTCATTACATTTTTAGAAAGCCTTTGGTTTTCTTAAAATGCCTTCAATTCAAGGTGCAGAGAAGGCTCTTTTAACTAGACATTGGATTTCATAGCTGTTACCAGCTGCCTGCTAATAAAGGGCTTCTATAGTGTGTATAATCTAAAAGCGTGCGTGAGTCATGTTTGTTCTGTGAAATACATTGATCACTGAACTTTCCATAGCATTACCTTTTAATGGCCTTTGAAGTCAGTGTGTTCTGGTTGTTTATTTAAGAATTCAGAAATATGATGTGCTGTGAACGAAGTGTATATGTTCTTGGAAACCATAAAATCAAAGAGAAAATAGATGAAAGGATAAATAGGGTATTTCATTAGTGTGAATAACAAATATTGAGAAATTAAATATGGCTCTAGTAGGTGTGAGGTATTGCACTTTATCTTTCTGGCATTATTACATAAAGCCTGAGAAATAATTAACCCAACGTTGCAAACCCCTGGAGGTGGCTCTGGATTAATTGTCAGTGGAAAGACGAATGCAATAATGAGAAGAACATAGAGTGTAGGCCTTGGGTACTGGCTTCTTCACTGCCCTGGGCTGAGGACTCCATCTTTTTGGGTGGGTGGCACTTAGTCCTGGTGGGATAACCCTTGGGCTCTTGGGGCATGAGAAGCCAGCACAAGGCCTAAGACTTTGGAATCAGACCTGTTTTCAATCCTGTTTCAATTGACCAGATTTGTGACTGTGAACAGGTTTTTGAACCATCCAAGACTTGGGTTTCAAATCTGTAAAACGGGGTCAAAAATACCTGCATTATAGGCTTGCTATGAGATTATATGAAATGCTTAGTACAGTGCCTGGCACATAGTAAGCGCTCAATAAATTGTCGCTGTTATTATTATTATAATGGATAAGCATTATAGAACTAAGATATAATGATTTATTGTTGTCTTTGTGAAATTATGATACTTTTCTATTTGATCTAATTTCTTTCAAAATAAGGTATACATGATGGTTTTAAGAACACAAAAGGGATAAAAGTTGATGTTTAATATTCTTTGTCTGCTTCTGAGAGATACTTAAAACGATAATTCCTTTGTCCCTATGTGTTACTCTTTGACCTGTGGTGTGATTTCCTATGCTATATTTACAATGTGGTTATCATTGCATGATATTTATTTATCTAGATATTAAAGGTAATGGCTTTGCACATCTAGAGTAGTCCTATTCTCTAGAAAATAACCCATCAACTTGGTTTAAGATAATGAAGTCCCTTGTGTTGATAGGAGCTAAAGGTAAAACTATTATCAAATGGACCTACTCTGCTTAAACCACAAATCATTAGCCTTTGAGAGAATTGAATGTCTAAATAATCTTACTAGGTGAGGACAATTCCTCATAACTGTCTTCTGAACTACTTTGTGCTTCATGTGTTCTGTGATGGAAGAGGCGGAACACAGCGGTATTCGGAGTGAGGAGTATTCATTGTAACTCTGATGCTGTGGCTACTGACCGCCAGAACCGTCACCACCTTAATCCCAGCCCCCACTGTCACTTAACCCCGATGACGGTAGTGGCCTCATAATTCACATCCCAACCCTGGGAGTGTTTTATCTTGGAGTTTTCCTTATTCTAGTGTATATATATATTTAGCAGTCTTTGGTAGTTAGCTACTTGCCAATGGACTTACTTCCCTTGTGCACAATTCTGATTCTGTTACTGCCTTGTTCAAAACTCTTCAGTGGCTGCCCACTATCTGTACAGTGGTGGGCAAAAGTATGCTTACAGTTGTTCATATGGAAAAAAAGACATGTGGGTTAAATAAATAATACAACAAGAATAACCTCTGTGTTTTGCAGACTCACAAGTATAAACCTACTTTTGCCCTCTCCTGTGTATCCACTACTTAACCTTTACATCATTGCCCAGCCCCAGCTTCCCTTAATCACCTTTATCTGCCAGTGTTCTCCTTCATGCAGTATATGTGACCAGCCCTGCCTTCCTCAGCCTGATCTGATTATACATGAAGTATCTTCAGCCTACAGGTCAACCCCGATCTCTTAAACTTGTCACTTAATCTGTGGTGTGAAAGATCAGAAATTAGATGTAACCTAAAGGCAGAGTGCCAGAGATGTGCCTACCAAGCTGTAGCCTCCTTCTTGTTCTCCTCCATCATTGCATACACTTAGCATTAGCTCTTCATTCGTTGGCAGTGGTATGATGAGTGCCATAATGATGAGAACGTGTGACTAAGAGTAAGGGGTTTGCCACTGACTGACTTCTTGTCTGTCCTGGGCTGGCTGGTCTCTGCCTTAGAGAGAGTGGCGCTTAGTTCTGGCAGGAGAACCCCAGTCTGTGGGGGTGAGTTTATTTAATTTTCTTCTTGAGTTTCTAGCCTACTAAATTAGGTCATCCTCACTGAACCCTAGCCCCATGTTGTCTGAGGGGCTGGCCACTCAATTTTGGCTCTGAATACAAATCTCCTCGTTCAGGCCCCTGAACAATTAAGTTGTGATCTCAACTCCAGTCTTAGGTTCTGGCCAGCCTCGTGTCCTGAATATCATCACATACATAGTGTATGTTATTTATTTACCATTGGGCTCCAAATTGTTGTATACATTCTCCTGCATGTGAATGCTCACCTGGAATGTACTGAAGTTTACCATACCCTCGAGTTGGCATCTCTGTCTAGGCCAGGCAAACTAAAGCCCTTGGGCCCAAACTGGTCCAATTAAAAATAATAAAGCCATACCCACTCATTTACATATTGTCTATAGCTGCAGTACAATGGCAGGTTTGAGTAGTTACAACAGAAACTGTACAGCCTGGAAATTCTTAAATATTGATATCTGACCCTTCACAGGAAATGTTTACTGACCCCTGATCTAAAGTCAAGTAGTTTCCCCAACCTTGATGTTGCTTATTCTTTTTCCCCCCATTTTTAGAGAGAGGGGAAAGGAGGGAGAAAGAGAGGGAGTGAAACATCGATGTTAGAGAGAAACATTGATCAGTTGCTTCTTGCACGCCCACAACCAGGGACCTGGCCTACAACCCAGGCACATGCCCTGACTGGGAATCAAACTAGTGACCTTTCAGTTCCCAGGCTGGCACTCAACTCACTGAGCCACACCAGTCAGGGCAATATGCTTATTCTTTGATAATTCTTTATTTTCATCCTGTCAACCAGTGCAGACCCAGAAGGCCAGTTTATTGAGGCTAAGATAGGTTCCAACCCATTGAAACTGGTGGTTTTCACTTGAATTTCCCTGCTTCTTCTCTGTCATCTTTCTAGAATGGCCTTTTCCTGTGCCTTTGAGTGAAAGAAATGCCATAGTCATAAAGTCTATTATACTAGCCTTATGGTATGTTTTAAAATGTAGTATTGGATTCTAATATGCTAATGTCTTTCAACATTGCCGGTACCTTTCAACATGACATTTCAATAGTTCTAAGATTAGGCTTTTCAATTCTTCAGTGTCTCTAACATCAGGTCTTTGTGCACCAGAGCTTCCAACATCTCTAATGGCCCCTTCTTCTAAATGTTCCAACATCCATATCTTCCATTCTTTAGCCTGCAACATCTCCAGTGCCAATGTTTTCTAATCTTAGTATCAGTTATTAAAAGTCTAGGTCTTCTAGTATCTCCAACAATCAACCTTCAGGTCCTGGGTCTTGACTTTCAGAGTCCAGACGTCTAACCTCAAATTTAACTATGTTTCTAATTCTCCATTATTGCCTACATACCAGTCTTCTAGAGCTCATATATTTCATTGAGTCCAAATCTAGCTCTTCCAGTATCTTCTAGCACTTACATCATTGAGTTCCTACAAATTTTAGTATTTCCTAAATTCTGATTTTACAATGTTTTTTAAAATTACTACTCCCTCTAATGCCCAAGTCTTTTGATATCTCCAAAAACCTGGTCTTTCAATATTCAGGTGTTGCAACATCCCCAATGTTTGAAAGACTAGGTCTTTTAACAACCTGATCTCGTAAAGTCTAGGCCTCCCCATGTCCAGGGCATCCAACATTTTTGACTCACAGCATCATGAATATCACATCTTTCAAACTCTATGTCTTTTAACATGAATATGTCAATATTCAAGTGTTCTAATATTTCCCAATATTGAAGGTTTCTGATTTTAGGATTTCTAAATGTCTACATCTTCTAGTGTCAGTGTCTTCCAATGTTTAAGGCTCCCAAGGTTCAGGATTTGCAATGTCTTTAGTGCTTAGGGCTTCCAGTATCCGTGAACTCTAACATTCAGGGCCTCCAAAGTCTCCAATGTCCAGAATAACCAATATCTCCAAAATTCAAGGCTTCCAATGTCTCCAACATCCTGTGCTTCCAATGTCTCCAATGTCCAGGGTTTCCAATGGTGCCAGTGTCAAGGTCTTCCAGCAACTCCAAGTCTTCCAACAACATCGAGGTCTTCCAGCTAATCCCAGTCTTCCAGAAAATCCACGCCTTCCAGACAAGCCACGTCTTCCAGTAAATCCAGTGTTCCAGCAATTACAGGTCTTCTGCAAAATCAACGTCTTCCATATCTTCCAGGAAAATCTACGTCTTCCAGAAAAATCCTTGTCTTCCAATGGTTTCAAGATCTTCCAGCTAATCCACATCTTCCAGAAAAAAATCTAGGTCTTCCAACCAATCCATGTCTTCCACCAAATCCAGCCTTCCAGTCAATCCATGTCTTCTGGACAAAATTTATGTCTTCCACTAAATCCAGGTCTTCCAATAAAGCTACGTTTTCCAGAAAATTCACGTCTTCCACTTAATCTCCGTCTTCACAAATATATGTCTTCCTTGATATCTGCATCTTCCAGTAACTGCCAAGTCTTCCAGCAAATCAGCATCTTCCGAACAGTGAAAGTCTTCCGGACAATTCGGGTTCTCCTGAAAATCCATGTCTTCCAGAAAACCATGTCTTCCAGGAAATCCATGCCTTCCAGTCACTTCCAGGTCTTCCAGACTATCCATGTCTTCAATCAAATCCATGACTTCCAGAAAATCCACAACTTCCAGAGAAACCATGTCTTCCAGCAAATCCTTATCTTCCAGAAATCTTTGTCCTCCAAAGCGCTGTGTCTTCCATCAGATTTATGTCTTCCAGCCTACCCATGTCTTCCAACAAAGCCACATCTTCCAGAAAATTCTCGTCTTCCAGAGCATCCACGTTTTCCAACAAAGCCATGTCTTCCAACAAAGGCACATCTTCCAGAAAATCTACATCTTCCAACTAAGCCACGCCTTCCAGAAAATTCATGTCTTCCTACACCTCCAAGTCTTCCAGCATCTCCAGGGCTTCCAGCATCTGCTCGTCTTCCAGCATCTCCACATCTTCCGACAACTACCCAGTCTTCCAGCAGTGGGCTACATATCCACGTCTTCTGTCTCCAGTGTACCGATCTTCTAACATTCAGGTCTTCCAGTGTCTACAATATCCAGGTATTCTAATATGTTCTGTAGTCCAGGTCTTTCAAACTTTCCCCAGGTCCAGACTCCAAAATCAGTCTTCTCAAGTGTGAGTCTTTTCATGTTCAGACCTTTCCACAGATGAGTCTTCCTACTCAAATATTCCTATTTCTAGTAGAATTAGCTTCCAAAAATTTATTATAGCATCCCTTTTTATAGACCAGATATTATGGACTGACTGTACTGCAGCCTAATAGTGTTTTTTGCTATTAGGAAATGTGTGTTTATTCTTTACAGCTTTAAAACATAATATTCATGAGACAGCTTCTATAGAATAAACACATATGGGATTGCTGTGATAAATCTTGCTACGTCATTAATGCTTATAGTTTTTATATAGTCAGTTATGCTTAGGTGCAAGTGAAAGACTTATTTTAATGAGAAAACTATTTAGAGACTTTTTTCTTTTAGCTAAAGTTGACATACAGTGGATAATATACAATGTGTCTTCTTTATAGCACCAATTTTTGTTTGGTCTTATGTGATTAATAATAATAATTACACTTAACATAGCACTTGCTATATCCAGGCACTGTTCTAAGGTCCTTACATGCATCAACTCATTTAGTCTTCACAAGAACCCATGGAGGTAGGTACTATCATCCCTGTTTTACAGATGAGGAAACTGGCACACACAGGTGAAGTAACTTGTCCAAAGGATACAACTAATAAATGGTTGAGCTGGGATGTGAACCCAACTAGCCTGCTTTCAGAGTCTATGATCCTAACCACTATGCTATAATATCTGCTGTTGAAAATCAGCATGAGGATTATGAGATCCAGAGCTCAATTGCTCTCATTTTATGTGTAGACTGTTATAAAATCTTATATACAAATGGTCTTACTGTGCTTTATCAGTATGAGAACCTATTTGTTTGTATTCACAGATCTCATTCCTCAACTAGCTGTTATCATTCCCTTGCTCATGTATATGGAACTAGGTATATGGAAGGAAAACACTTCCTCATACCATTTTCAGTTTGGGTAGACAGAATATAAAGGAGTACTGAGTTCAAGTTCCCTTCGCTTTAGAATTATATTCATAGCTCCACGCTTTGAGTTCTGGTGCTTGGAATTTAACTGTCCTATCTACTTCAATTCCTTATCTCTGACCATTTCCCCCTTTACACTTTACTATCTACACTACTTACCATTAGTTTGTTTCCGACCTCCAGGATCCACCTGCTTCAAATCTCACAGACCTCTTGGATTCCTCCCACTGCCTTGTGTCTGACTAATGGTGACTACAACTCCTTAACTCCAAGCATGCTGACCTAGAGTACTAACTGCTTGGTTCTCCGAGTCTCAGCTACTATCAGGTGCTTCCAACAACATTGCTACCCACACCTCTGGTTGGCATGACAAGCATTAAAGCCATATAATGAAATTCTCATTAGGTAATATAATGAAATTATCTATATAGTACTACTACTACTACTACTACTACTACTACTACTACTACTACTACTATCATCTTACAAATGTTTAATGATTTAGTTTACAAAATGTTGTCACTTCATTCATTCATCCATTAATTCAACAAATATTTATTGAGCGCCAAATGTGTGCCAGGCATATTTTAATGGAACTTAAAATCATCTGGGGGAAAGACAATGTTGAAATAATTTGAATAATTATTTATAAATTCTGCAAGGCCATGAAAGAACAGTGAGTATAGGATGCTATGAGAGTCTGGAAAGTTAATGAAAGCATTCCTGAGGAAGTAACATTTGTGGTAGCTGAAGAATCTATATTCTTATTTGATTATCATAACAACTCTGTCATTTAGATAAGATAGATGGTTTTTATAACAGGTTTTACCTAATTGCTGCTTAAGCAGCAAGTACTAAAGATGGGTATGGGATCCATGCACAGGGTCCAGCACAAATAACGCCTGTTTTTTTTATTACAAAATCATAAGCCTGTGATTCTGTAAAAAAAACAATATCACCCTCAAGCACATCAGTAAAATTTTAGGTTAAATGCTCAAATGAAAACTATAAATTGTGTTACACCCCTATTATTACCCTACCAACCACACTCAAGCAGGCATTACTTCTGCTGGACTCTGTATTTTGACTTTCTTTTTTCAACTATTCATGCTGCTTTAGAATACATAGTAAGTATAGTTTTGGCAATATATATCAAGGGATATAAAAATTTTTGTACTCTTGGTATTTTTACTTCAATGAATCTACTCAAGAGAATTATCTAAAATGTGGATAATTCATATACAAAGACATGCCTCACACAGTTATCTCAAAGAGTTAAAAACAGAGAAACTGAAAGTCTCACTTTGAAGGCATAATTAAGTAAATGTGCTATTTCCATGTGATGGAATATTATTCCATTAAAATATTTATGGTCAGTTTATATTATATAACGTTAACTGCAAACTCAGGGTACAGATTATATAAAGTGAGATGGCAGTTATTTTAAATATATAATCAGAGACAAGTGACTCAAAATAAATCCATTGTAGAGTATGAACTAATTATGTCTAGGTAGATAGAATAATGTGTGATTTTTTATTTACTTCTGTGTTATTTTTTCTTCCATAGTTCTTATAGTATGAAAGTATCTTATATTCAGGAAAAAAATTGACCATTTGTACACAAAATCATTATTTATTTATCTTTAATTTACACATGTAATCAAGTTGTACTGTTGAAAACACTTCAAAATATAAGTAAGCAAAAGGAAAAGTTAAATCTCAAAACTCAATATTCACAGATAACGCTGTAAAATTTTAGTGTACATCCTTCCATAGTTTCACAGGTATGTTTGTTTTATTTTGCAGAATGATTTTATACTGCCATTTAACCTAGTTTTTCCACTTAGTAAATTATAAACATCTTTCGATATCAGTAACTGTGCATCTGTAGTATAATTTTAATACATAACTTATGTACTTCATTAAGTTCTTTCCATTGTTTTGTAATATAAAAACTGCTGTGATGAGCACGTATGTTGTGCAAGTTGTGCAGAATACAAACTGCTCATTGGTGGAGGCCCTGTGTGTGCAGAGCCGTTCAAATATTGCTTACGATAAATTCTTCCCAGGCGAGTTGCTAATCTAAAGGATATGTGCCTCCTAAAGCTTATCACAGCATAAAAATTCTAAGCAATTGCAATGCTCAACAATTGTGGTGGAGAAATCAAATGATACTGTAAACATATGATGGAATACTATGCAGTCGTTTCAGTTTATACCACAGAGGCATATTTACTAGCATGGAGCTCTGTTCACAAGGTCTCATTAGTGAGAGGAACAGGCCACATGAATGTATATGTAATATTAAAACTTTGTGGGAGGGAAATTAAATGTCCTCAGGATATACACTATTTTAGAATCTATACTGGAGTGTTTGTAGTAAGTACCCCAAAAGGAAAATCGATAAATTGGGGTAAATGTGCACAAGGGAATACTACACAGCAGTGAAACAAATACACTACAGCTAAACGGTGTTAATATGCGTGGATGCTAGTTCTCTAATGTTAAAAAATGTCAAGTTCCAGAAGAGTACATATAACTGGATATTCTGTTTATATTCTTTTTTTAAAAAGTAAACTAAAACACTATACTATTTAGGCACATATATTGGGGATTAAAATACTTTATTAAAAAGCAAAAGAATATGAACAAAAAATTCAGGATAATGGTCATTGGGTTTGAGGAAAGGAGGTTGGAATAGGAGGGAATCACAGCAGTGAACTGAAGTTTTTGTCAGTATTCTAGTGCTCAGGATTGATGGGTGAGTGTGTGCATGTTCATTAATTAATTAAAAGCATATTATTGACTTAATAATTGTACAATTTTATGAAATAAGTAGTTAATGGATAAAAATAAATGAGGGCTATGCATGGATAAATGAGACAGTATGCATGATCTATGACAGCACACATGGATTATTCTTAATCCAGTTTTGTGCACTTGAATTTCATATTTTTCTTAAGCAATTATCTCTGGGTGTTCAGAATATATGTACCTTTTATTCTCTTGTGGCTCTCTATTTTCTAACTTTTGTATGTGGAATATATATAATACTATACTAATTGAAAAACATGCCCCAAATTACATAGAGTAATATCTCAGATATGCCAAAAATGCATTACAGGGACTGAAAAAGTGTTGACATGTTAGTAGTAATTGCCTCTTTGCAGTGAGATTTTATATAGCATTTTTATGTTTCCTTTTGGTTTTTTAAATCCAAATATTACAGAGTGAGATTATGGTGTTATTTTTCTGTAACAGGTGTATCACGTGCTTATTGTATAAGTAGACTGGGCAGTAGTATATAAAGGAACATATGAAAATATCTCTCTCCCAGGCCTACTGCCCAGAGACAGGCATGATGATATGTCTGCTTTGTTTCTCCCGAGCTATTTTCTGTATGTGTGAACGTGTCATGTGTTTTACAAAATGAAATCATCCTATACATAAAGCAGGTCCTCTAGTAACATTGTTTTGTTCAATGTTCTTTTGTTAAAGTTCGTGAGAAAAAAAAATGGATTCCTGGGCAGGGCCACTGTCTATGTGATTCGCACGTTCTCTCCATGTCTGCGTGGGTTTTCTCCAGGGACTCCGGTGTCCTCTCCCATCCCCAAATGTGCATATGAGGTGGAGTGGCACATCTGCAGTGTCCCCGTCTAAGTGAGTGTAGATGTGTGAGAGAGGACCTGCGATGGAAAGGCGTACTGTCCAGGGTGGATCCCGCCTTCTGTCCTGAGCTGCCAGGAGAGGCTCCAGTCACCTGTGACCCTGAACTAGAATAAGCAGGTTGGAAAATCATTCTCTTACTTGTTCTTATTTATCTTTCTTAAATGTACTCATTTGTATAGCTTACATTTCTTGTTTTTCTTTTGTTTAAAGGATTTAAAAGTTTTTTATTTTTAGAGAGAAGGGAAGGAAGGGAGAAAGAGAGGGACAGAAACATTGATGTGTGAGAGAACATCGATCTCCTCTTGCATGGCTCCCAAACCGGGACTTGGCCCGCAACCCAGGCGTGTGCCCTGACCGGGAATTGAACCCACAACCTTTCGGTTTGCTGGAGGAGGCCCAACCCACTGAGCCACACCAGTCAAGGCTCACATTTGTTTCTTTCAATGTTTGATATTACAAGTGTTTGGGTCTTTATTTAAAAGTTTGGTGATGTTTTTGTGACCAGAAATGTGCCATAGGCACTAAACTCTTGTTCCTATCAATCAGCCTGTGGTAAAGCTGGTTTCATTATACATTGTTTCCCTTAATGTCACAGTTTCTAAGAACCTATCTATGCATTTAAGTGACAATTTAACTCTACTATTCCAAACTTGCTGTCCTGTCTCCCCTTCCTTTCCTGTTCAGTAGACAGTCATTGTAACAGCTAGTAGAATTCTGCAGTAGGGTGCACTATATCATTTATTCAGCTCTTTCCACATGACAAATCTTTGGGTTAACAGTTTTTTGCTATTACACCTAATGCTGTGTAAAGCATTCTTTTAAATCTATCTTTTGCATGTTTAGAAGTATTTTTATAAGCTAGAAATAAACCTGCTAGATCAAAGACTTTGAAGTAATTGGCCTTTGTGGTGTGCTGGACATTATTCTTTTTAATTTTGTCAGCATTTTGGATGAAAAATTCAATCTCATTCCTTTATTTTTCCCTACCCACTAGTAAAGTTAAGCACGTTTTAATATATTTGTTAGCTATTTGTATTCTTTTGGAGATTTCCTGTTCATCTCCTTTGCGTATTTTTCTTCTGAGTCATTTATCTTTTATTTTGCTTGTTGATATGTAGGTCTCTGAATATTAGTGCTGATATCCTTTTTGTCTGCTATATATTACAAATGTCTGTCCTTTTAAAAGTTTATTTATAATGCTATTTGCCACAAAGATTTAATTATGTAAATAGGCAAACATTTAAATTTTTCTTTTATAGTTCCTTGGTTTTGTCTTATGCCAAGATTATAAAAATATGGCTCAATATTTCTTCTAATATTTTGCATATTTTATTTCTTAGTCCTCTAACCCACATGGAATTGTTTAGTGTCTATTGGTATGTGTGTGTATGATGGACAGTAGGGACCTATGTTAATTTTTTGCAGAAGACATAACTAGTTTTCCTAATTTATTTTTGTATTGAATTATATTTATACTAATTTAGAATTTTCTTTTCTTTTTTTACTTAAAAAGATTTTATTCATTTGTTTTTATTTTAAAATATATTTTATTGATTATGCTATTACAGTTGTCCCATTCCCCCCCATTTATTCCCCTCCACACTGCACCTCCCCTTCCAGCAGCATTCCCCCCCTAGCTCATGTCCATGGGTCATACATATAAGCTCTTTGGCTTCTCCATTTCTCGTACTGTTCTTACCCTCCCCCCTGTCTATTTTCTACCTACCATTTATGCTTCTTAATTCCTATACCTTTCCCCCCACTCTCCCTCCTTCCCTCCCCACTGGTAACCCACCATGTGATCTCCATTTCTGTGGTTCTGTTCCTGTTCTAGTTGTTTGCTTAGTTTGTTTTTGTTTTTATTTTTAGGTTCAGTTGTTGATCATTTTGAGTTTGTTGTCATTTTTCTGTTCATAGTTTTTGATCATCTGCTTTTTCTTAGATAAGTCTTATTAACATTTCATATAATAATGTCATGATGAACTGCTTTAAGGAGTTTTCTTTTCATCATGAAGTATATTGGCATGCTTATGTTTCTTTTTGTTCCATTTTTGTCTATTACTGCACTAGTACCTCACTGCTTAAATTACTACTGGAGCATTATGATATGTTTTGAGATCTCATAGGACTGCTCTCCCTTCTTTTTCTTTTTTCAGAATTTACTTGGCTATTCTATATTTTCTTTTTCCAGATGAATTATAGAGTCAACTTGTCAACTTTGGTGTAAAGAAAAAAATTCCCTGGAAGTGCCTTGGACCTTTTGAGTAACCTGTCAAGAAGTGGCATCTTTGCAATACAGAATTTTGCATTTATCTTTTCTCCAGGCATCACATTAAACTCTGTTCTTATCTCTGTGCTCCCCCCACCATGAATTACCTTTAATTCCTAGCTACATAATCATGTCAGTCATAAATAAGAAAAAGTTTATCTTTTCATTGCAAATGGTTGTTTCTGATTTGGTTTTCTTTTTGGCACATCGGTAAAGATCTTATAATTTCCAGGACAATGCAGATTTATACTGACAATAAAGAATAGGCCTCCTTCTCTTGTTATTGACTTTAATAACAGTACCTCCTTGTTTCACTCTCAAATGGGATTCCTATTATTTCTGACAGTAACTCTGTTTCAACTTATGGAAACACCCTTCTAGCCCTGATTCCTGACTTATAGTTTTTTTGTCAGAAACAGATGTAAAATGTTATCAAGTGTCCTCTCTAGGATCTGCCAAGGTGATAATATGATTATTCTTTTTAATCCATTAGTGTAGTTAATTATACTGATAGGTTTCCTAATGTTGAGCTACTCTTGCATTCTTGTAATAAAAGTGACTTGGTACCAGTGTTTTTGCTTATGCTCATATTTCATGTCACAACTAAAACTCTATTAACACGTTCCTAGAGAAGAGCCTTGTACCTTTTTCACATCATGGCCATGGTAAATTAAATGGACAGGATTGCTCAGGGCAAAAGCAACTGGCTTTCCAAGCTCCTCCTGTCTGCCCTAAATGCCTTAGAAGATATCATGTTATACACAAAACCTATCCTCAGAACACCAATGTGCACATTTGTTGGGAAATTCTCATTTGTTATTTTCCTTTGTGTAATTTCCTTTTCCTGATTTAATATCAGAATGGTATTACCCTTTGAATCAAATTAATTTTTTTTCTTAGTTTACAGTCTAAGTAAATTAGACACAAACCGTTCCCTTAAACACTTGGTAACACTCACCCATAAAAACATTTTGTTCTTGTGTTTGGGGAGTGGGGGAGTAACAACATAGTAAATGCTCTTTTCAATTTGTTTGATGATTAGACTCATTTCCTTAAGTTAGTTTCGTCAGTTTGTTTGTAAAATTGTTTCATTTCATCTGGATTTTTAAGTGTATTGTTTGTAAGTTTTATGTAAAATATTCTAATGAGTATGAATTTGCATATGTATGGCAATACCTCTTTTTTATTCTTTTCCTTAATAGGACTGTTTATATATTTTGTTTTTAGTTAACTATTAAAAAACAAATGTTTTTGAAAATATCACTTCCTGCTTTTGTTAATTCCTTCTTTCTACAGTCTTGGCTTCTGTTTGATCTTTTTCTACATTTAGGTGGATGCTTAGTTTATTTTTCAGTCTTTCTCATTTTCTATTTAATACATTTGAATCATAAAATTTCCTCTAAATACATTTGACTATATTGCCTAGTTTTCACTTGCGGTGTGATAATAGTCATTCTTTAGGTACTCTATCTGTAGTTCATTTTCCTTTCTCACTCAGTTATTTAGGAGTATATTTACATATTTCAACATGATTAGGTTTTCATTAATGTTTGGCTTTTCTATGCTTGTTTTCCGTATTACTTGTTATACTGCCTCATGGATGGAGAATGTTTCCTGCATCAATTATACACTCTGGTATATTTTGCATCCTAATGTGAAATTTTAAAATAAGCAGAACCATAGAAATGAAGATCACATGGAGGGTTAGCAACAGGGGAGTGGGAGGAGGAGAAAGGGGGAGAAAGTACAGAAAATAAGTAGCATAGACGGTAGGTAGAAAATAGATGGGGGGGGGCAAGAATAGTATGGGAAATATAAAATCTAAAGAACTTGAGACATGTGGTCATAAACTAAAGGGGGGGAATGGTGGGGGAGGGGGTGTGCAGGGTGGAGGGGAATGAAGGGGGGAAATAGAACAACTGTAATGGCATAATTAATAAAATATATTTTAAAAAGTAAAATAAATATTCCATGGGCAATTGAAGTAAATGTATTTTTTTGTTAGGGTAATGATATATCATTTATACATAGTAAATCACATTTTCTTTTTTTATTTAGTTATTTTTTAAGTACAGTTTTCTGTTTATTTGTGATTCAGATTTTCCCTCTGTATTTGGTTAATCTAAATTTTCTGATAAAAGTATATAAAATCTCAATTTTATCATAGTCTCCTATTTCTAACATTTTTTACTTTACATATTTTAAATTCTTTTCCAGTGCATTAAATTTCATGATTATCTTACTGGATTGTGTTAATTAACAACATAAAGATGCCTTCTTTTATTCATTCAATGCTTTTTTTGGCTTACATTTCTTTGCCACTTCTACTATTAATAGCTTTTTGTTAGCATTTGTGTTGTGGGCCCACTCTGCCTGGTTCTAGGAATTGTAAACTACCCACTTTGGCTAAGGATGAGTCAGTGACCTTTGGAATTTGAGCCGCAGGAGACAAAGCTTGTCTCTGGTAGCAAATGCTGCCTCTGCTTACTCCACTGCCCCCAATGCATGGTTGGATAGTCAATGACGGGTAAGACCCCTCAGAAGAGGGGCAACCTAGGCCAGACACAATCACTTGGGAGGCCATAATGGAAGGACTTGGGGGGGCTGCAACAAAGAGCAATGGACTCTCACCCCCCCCCCCCCCCCGCTTTGACAAAGCCCAAGTCACCGAGTTCCCTGGGAGAAGGGCTTCCTGACTCTAATCCCCTTAAGCCTGAATACCTGATGGGGAGGGGTGCAGCTCCTTGCCTTGCTAGAGTGGATCTGGGGAAAAATCTGGCATCACAAAGAATTCCTAAAAAATCCTGTGAAACATGCTCTGCTAAGAGTGCTTTCATTCATATGAAGGGTTTGAGGGTTAAGGGTTTGAGCAAGAAACCCTAAAACTCCTCCTGACAGACTCTGACTCAGACTAAGCCCTCAGATTTCTTTGAAATGTTATCTACTGTTTGATCCTTACCACCTTTATTCCTGTGTATTACAACCCAATAAAAACCCTTGTAGGAGGGGGCTCAAGGCCTTTTTCCTCTGGGAAACTGGCCACCTCTCCTCCCAAAGCAGATCGCATCATGTCTGTCATGTTTACTCTCATCCGTGGCACATGGGGTGATGTGCGAGGAAAGTCGCCCTCGCACATTTGTCTGATGTATCTTTATCCATTCCAATATTTTCAACTTTTCTGCCTCATTTTGTTTTAGATGTATCTTTTCAAAATAGCACATGATGATATTTTTCCTCCATCCAATAATGTCTACCTTTTAATTCATAATTAAAACTTTCATATTTACTGCAATTCCATATTTTATTAATAATTCTGTCATTTCATTTTTATTTTTATCACTTTTTGCCAGTTTTGTCAAAGTATATGTCCTCCTTTTCCCTATAGTGATTTATGAGTTTGAAGTATCACTTGTAATAGTGATTGCACTGATTTTATACATATATATAACCACACGTATATACACACACATATACATGTATACACACATATGTATGTATATGTGCACACACACAGCATCCAGCAGAAGTAATGCCTGCTTGAGTGTTGTCTGTAGGGTGATAATATGGTTGTAATAATTTATAGCTTTACTTTGAACATTTTACCTAAAATGTCCTATGGTGTGCTTGAGGATGGTATTGTTGTGTTACAGAATCACATGCTTAAGATTTTGTAATAAAATATTTCATAATAGACTTGGCTCATGTGGCTCAGTGGATTGAGTACCAGCCTGCAAACCAAAGGGTCTCCGGTTCAATTCCCAGTCTGGGCACATGCCTGGGTCGTGGGACAGGTCCCCAGTAGGGGGTGCTTGAGAGACAAGCACGCATTGGTGTTTCTCTCCATCTCTTTCTCCTTCCCTTCCCATCTGTTAAAAATAAATAAATAAAACCTTTACAAATATATTTTGTAATAAAAAGGGTGTTATTTGTGCCATATCCTGTATGTATGTTTGCATGCGTGTGTGTGTGTATATATATATGCACACACACATATATATGCATATATACACATGCATATATATGTATATATGTGCTGACTTTTTACTTTATACGGTATAATTAAAACTTTTAAAGTGAGCATATAATACCTTTGCAATAGGAAAGCAAAGGAAAAATCTGCTTTTCTGTGTGTCTTCTCTTTGTTTGCGCCTGACGAGTCTCACGATCCATGCTCGGGCTCTCATAACCTAGATTTTATATTCTTTCACCAACTTCTCAATGCCTCACTACTCCTGTATACCCTGTTTATTGATACTGGATTTTCTCCATAAAATATCATTGTATTTATATAATTCAATTCCTAATTAAACTTCAACCCCTGACACCCAAGTCCTCCATGACCTTCCCTACATAACAATTCCTGTTTTCTATTTGGCCGTAGACCAAATAAAAAACTCGTCAGACTGGTTTCCTCACTCTCTTATAAATCAGCATTTGTTCCTTCCTTTATTTTCATTTCTTTTGTTCTCTACCTTTTTCTGTTTTGTCAGAGTCCTCCCCAACCACAGAGTCTCAATACCTGTTTACAAGATAAGTTATTCTTCTGTTCCGATAGTTTTCCATTAGGCAAGATCTTCATCTTCAAGCAGCAGAAATAGTCTAGTCACAAACCTGTGAAATCAGACTTCATTTTTGACCATGAAACCTTAAGGCCATTTATTGAAAAGGGACATTTTGACTCTTTTCTAAAATGATTTAATTTTGAGATTGATATTAACCCCTTGTTATAGAACAGACATACTGGGGGCCCAGACTCCAGAGGATGGTATACTAATATCGTCCAGACCACCTACTGGGTTCATCTATCCACCACCTATTGGAAAGATATCTCTCAATGCCAGAGATTTGTGAAAAGGAAATGTTTATTTAATGCTATACGGACTTAAAGTAGTAACCTAACATGTTCATTAAAATATCAAAGTCCTTTAGGATACCCACAGATGCACACAGTGCTTCCTTCTCCCCCTGCCCTAATTTGGGGTACCCTATCTCAGGTAAAGAAGCACATGTCCGTGTTTCAGGCCACTGGCACCGTCAGCTGTGTCGCCGTCCAGGCAGGATCTCTAATTACTCCAAAGTCATGTGGCACCTCCTCACTGTCTACTAGCAAGAGTTCTTTGTACCCATTTTTCCAGGCAAAGTCTCTCCTTTCCTTCACATGGCTGCAGGGGTCCCCACTCTGCCAGAAGTATATGGCTTTCTCTCTGCACTGCCACAGCTGCGTGGTTCCCTTTCCTTCTCGCATGGCTGTGGGGGTCTCCACTCTGACAAAGCCACATGGTACTCCCCTTCACCAGGCCAAAAGGGGGTCCTCATTCTGCCAAAACTGTGTGGCTCTCCCTTACGTGGCTGCCATGTCTGGGTTTAAATCCCCACACCAGTCTTCCTCTGTACCCCCATTTCCAACTCCTCCCACAATCAGTTACACCTGCCAGCATTCCTGTATTATTACAAGTTTACTGGGCTGCCATCATGAGTCTGGGCAGGTATGGCCCCATGTCCTGGAGCCAATCTTCTCCAAGCTCCCACGCAGGTGCTGTAACTCGGGGGACCTGCCCACCGGTTACATCTTAAGGGGAAGTGACTTCCATCCCCCTGGCTCCAAGCCTGGCCACAGCCATTTAACATATCCAAGTGACCCACCAAAGGCTATAGATATGTTAAATGGCCATGCCATGGATTAGCCGCAAGGCTGTGGCTGTACAAAACAGCCCTGCATGTTCCTGCTCCATGTGTCCCTTCCCCCAACTCACACCTGTGGAGGAAGGGGGGAGGACATCTTATATGTCTTTCCAATAATTCCTAGACACCTGGAGTTCTGGACCCCACGCCAAATCCCTTTTTGCCCCACCTTGGTTGCACCCTGTATCGCCCTCACCCCAAACCAAAGATTTCTTAACACTTTTTCGTTAATAACAGTGCTAGTCAGCATCAGCTTAATTTAACCCTTTCCACAGTTTCTGTGGTTTCTGAGTCCTCTTTAATCAATCTCCCATATTCTCGAGAGTTGTTTGGGGGCATATCAGCATTTAGCTGGTGACCTGGAGCTCCTCTGGAAGTTTCTACCAAGTGCTCAAGGCCAGAAGCCTCAGCAGA